GTTTGATCCAATGGGATTTGTAGGTCCAGTTGTGATTGTGGCAAAAATATTGATGCAAGATTTTGATTGAATCGGCTTTTACTTGGTGGAAATCCATTATCTAATAAAAGATTTTTTAAGTAAATTTTAATACTTATATATTTCCACAATTTTTTGTTAAACTTTTAACATGTTTCGCTAAACTTTAGCTTCATCAGAAAGATTTTAGAAAAATAAAATGTAGACATAAAAGTGAAATTGACAAATATAAAAAAGGTAAAAGCTGGTCTAATTTTATGTTAATTTAAATAGGTATTACACAGTAAATAAATTTAAAAGTGGTGAATTGTTTAAATCTAATTGGTCGTTCAATAAACAGTCTAAAGTTTTAAGTTTGTTTATTTCTAAAGATTCTAGAAGATTTAATTTTATCCATGTTAAAAGTTTAACAAAAAATTGTGGAAATATATAAGTATTAAAATTTACTTAAAAAATCTTTTATTGATGCAAGAGATTTGGATAAGTAAGGTTGATTGGGATGATGAACTTCCAGGTTCTGTTGTTGAAAAATGGAAAATGTTTTCAGGGAATCTTCATTATTTATCTGGGTTGGAAATTCCTAGGTGGCTATTTGAATCAAATAAGATTTCAGAAATGCAGATTCATGGATTTTCGGACGCCTCTATAATGGCATACGGTTGTTGCGTGTATATTAGAACTTTGTATTTCGATGGCAAGATTTCGTGTAATCTTTTATGTGCAAAGTCTAGAGTAGCGCCTATAAAAACAAAAATTTTGGCCAAACTTGAACTTTGTGGAGCTTTATTGTTGGCAAAATTGGTACATAGGGTTTTGAGTACAATAACAGTAAATATTACAATTTCGAAAGTCTATTTGTATAATCTATATAATTTAAAGTTTATCAGGGTGCTTAAAAAAGAAAAACTATCGGGTCCATTGACAGTATAGGAACTAAAAAATGCGTTAGGAAAAATTGTAAGATTGGTTCAGAATGAATGTTTCAGTACAGAAATTGAAAATTTGAGGGCACATTCTGGTTTTGGGAATATTGAATTAAAGGATAGTAAAATTAAGTGTTTGAATCCATTTTTAGATGATCAAGGAATATTGAGAGTGAATGGTAGATTGGCCAAGGCAGACATTGATTATGATCAAAAATTTACAATTTTGTTACCAGTTAAACATCACGTTAATAAATTACTAATTCGTTTAGAACATAAAAAGCAATTTCATGCAGGACCTCAGGCTGTTTTAGCAAATTTAAGACTTCGTTATTGGCCAATTCATGGTATGGTACAGGTGAAAAGAATTATTAAAGAATGTGTAAAATGTCATAGATTTAAAGCTCAAACCTTTGTTCAACAAATGGGGTCTCTTCCACTTGATAGGGTGTCAATATCTCGACCATTTTCCAAGGTTGGGATTGATTTTGGGGGTCCCGTTATGATTAAACAAGCAAGACTTAGGGGTTCAACTGGCACTAAAGCATATATTGCGTTATTTGTATGTATGGCCACGAAAGCTGTGCATATAGAATTAGTTAGTAGTTTAAGCACTGAAGCATTTTTAAACACTTTAAAACGATTTGTAGCTAGGCGTGGATGTCCAGTTATAATTTATAGTGACAATGCCACAAACTTTCAGGGGGCAAATAATGTTTTAAAAGAAATTTATTTGTTTTTTAAAGACAAGAATGGACACAGTTAATAATTTTTTAACAGGACAATAAATTGAATGGCGATTCATTCCGCCACTCAGTCGTCATTGGGGAGGGTTATGGGAAGCGGGAATTAAGTCAACAAAATTTCATATAAGAAGAATAATGGGCAATTTAGTATTAACATTCGAGGAAATGTCAACGGTTTTAGCACAAGTGGAAGCTATTTTGAATTCAAGGCCGTTGTGTCCTACATCAACAGATGTAGGTGATTTAGGCTGTTTGACGCCCGCCCATTTCTTGATCGGGGAACCTTTAACTTCATTCCCTGAGGTAGACGCGTCCAACGTACCCGATAATAGGTTAAAGTTTTGGCAATTGGTATCAAAAGTGAAACATAATTTTTGGAAAAGGTGGTCCACAGAGTACCTTAGTAGGTTGCAAAATAGACCCAAATGGTTTGCAACCGTAAATAATATAGAGCCAGGTATGATGGTGTTAATAAAGGAAGACGGTGTGCCACCTCTCAACTGGTTACTGGCAAGAATAGTAGAAGTTATGCCAGGGGTTGATAAAAGGGTTAGGGTAGTAAAAGTAAAGACAAAGGGAGGAGTGTATACACGTTCTGTAACCAAGTTGTGTCCTTTACCATTCAGCTGTTAAAGCGTATGCTTCAAGGGGGATGTTGGGAGTTGAAATCAAAATTATCAATGTTTCTGGTATCACTGACAGGCAAACCTATATGGGCTTGCGTTTGAGTGTAATCGATGCCTTATTGGAAAAACCTGCCATCATCTCATCCCATCGCATTATGTTTTTGTTGTTAGGTATACCTTTATTCGTTTGTCGAGAAGCCATAGAGAATAGAAAAATTATTATTGTAAAAAAAATATATGAGGAAGCTGCTCCATGTAATCACCGGAAGTATTTTATAGCGGAGTTCGTGCGTGCGGTAAAAGTTTTACCGCACCGTGCGGGAAAACTCATTTTCCGCACGCATATCAGTGCGGAAAATCAATTTTTCCGCACAGCTGTAGGAAAAATCTTTTTTCTACTGACGTTTCATAATAACAACTTTTCGATTGTCATTTTAGTTGCAAAACGACATTGTTTTGAGCCACTGAGCGCGTGAAAGTTACTTTTAAGCACTCAGTGCGTAAAAGTGACTTCTGAATGCGTAAAAGTGACTTTTAGGTGCGTAAAAGTGATTTTTAAGCACTAGTGCCTAAAAGTGTCATCCATTGTTCAGGAATAAAAAACACACTAAACACAGATTTGAATTTTGTTCTGTATTTATTATGAATATTAAAAATTAAATTATTGAATTGAACGTTTGGGTTACTCAAAACAGAACTTTTTGTAGTTACCTTCTTTCTAGGATTTTAATTATTGATGTCGAATCTTGAAAAAAAATCGCATGAAAAGTTTCAGGTGTTAAGCAAAAGCAGGTTACAAAGATTTTGGGCGTAATCTGCTTATTCACATGAAGTAAAATTGTGTTTTTTTTATTATGAAAAGCCAGTAGAAAAAATCTTGTATACAATACGTTACGAAAGGATGTCTTTCAGTCACTCGACGTTCACGTCGCGTGCCTAAAAGACGCTCATTTCGTAACTTATTGTATAAATAGCTATTTCCATATTATCCTATTTATTTCTCCATGTTTAAGTGTTCTCTCAATCATATTTCTTGGTTCTCTTAGTAGGTCTCGGGTTTCATTTCGCAATTTATTGGTTGTACGTATAACATCCCACATAACAAAATTGCATCCTTAGAATGTATTAAGAATGTTCTTTTTTTAGGAGGAATGTGCCTAGAATGTTCGCCAAAACCATTGCGAATGTCCTGAGAATGTTCTGAGAAAAGATTGTAGAAATACTGTTTGCAATACCCAAGAACTTCCTGGGAAATCCATTAGGATATTCCTAGAATATACCTATGATATTCTCAGTACGTCCTTAAAAGAATATTCCTGTTTGATTCTAAAAATATGCTCGAAAGGTACCTATATTCTCACATACAAAGAATGTTTCTATGACATTATAGTTATGTTCTCAAAAGAATATTATACCAATATGCTTTAAATATTCTTAGAATATATCTACATATATCATTCTCAATATGCATCCTAGACATAACATTCTTGTTTGATTCTAAGGATATACTTGGAATGTTTATTTTCGCTTCCAAATAATGCTCGTTTCAGCCCTTTTATATTAAAGGCAGTGAAAGAGTTGTTGGAAAACTTCTCTAGAAAATACGAGTATTTAACCAAAGCTCCGGTTTCGAGCTTGTTATGCTCTCGTCGAAGCACGCCAACTGAGAGAAACAGGTTCCAAGGTGATTCAAATGCGAGGCAAGATGTAGATCTTTAATAGCGCGTCGCTCCCTCTCTTGGAAGTCATACAAAGCAAAAGGAAAAGAATATACCTATAATATTCTTAGTAGGTTCTAAATAGAGCATTATTGTTTAATTGTACAATTAAGATTTTTGAGTAGGTACTTTAGATAATTAGGTGAACAATATGAAAATATTCTTATCATGGTTACCTACCTACATAAACTTCTCAGCACAACTTGGTAGGTATATCCTTAATACTTGATAGAGATATTAGCTTAAAGAACATTTTTTAGGGTACATTATAATAATGTTCGTATGAGAATATTCAAATAATGTTATATAAAGTAGGTTCTTAGCACAATCTTTCAGGTAGGTGCATAGAAGCAACATTCCTAGTACATAAATAGAACATTCAAAAATGAATATTTCAATCGAAACAATCTTAGAATATTCATTGAACATTCCTAAAAGAACATTCCAAAAAGTACTTTGAGAGAATATTCTGAGAATATGAATGTTCTTTCACTGTTATGTGGGATGTTTCTTGCTGACTTGCTTGACCTTCCACCAGTTGCCATCTAAAAATATTCGAAAAAGTTTACTATCTAAAACTTACTGCCAACGCAAGAGAAAAACGATTGGGGAGAGTTTTTCTCTTGCGTCCGCTCACAAAAGACAAAGCGGTACCGTGAGCGGAAGAAATTAACCCTTCGTCAGCTAGCTTTACCACATACGGATGGGATGTAGGATGCGTGTGAGGTTCTTATGGTTTTTAAATTACTTCTCCTAGATGGAATGAGGCTGACCAGATCGTCAGAACATCTCCCATAGTAATGGGCTAATGGCGATAGAAGAACGACAAATCGGCAACCTTGCGTTGCGTCTATGTTCTTCTTTGTACTTTATCTAATAGAGCCAACGAATGCTTGGGAGCATCGCTCCAGATGTGGGAGCATTATTCCATACATAGTCTGATTTAAGCCTTACAAAGGAGAAGTTGTGTAGAAATAAAGAAGTTTTTTTGCACGAAACAAAAAACCCTACCTTTGAAAAGCGGTTTTGGTGATCGAAGATACATGATCATGCTGAGAGAAGTTGGTCGATGCGGTCACCCCAAGAAGAGATACTGAGAGAATAATGGGAAGGTTTTGTCCTGACATCCTTAAAACCGGGTTATCATCGGCGGAAGATTTCTTATCTTGAGAATACTGTCGCTTGAGCTTTGGAAGCATTGAATTTGACTAGGTTGTTGAGGCCCAAGTTGGTAATGGTGTCAAGATTACTGTTGATAAAGGATATAGTGAATCTGTTCTCGAGCGAGGCATGTGGAAGTGGCTTCAGTAAGCGGATTGTCAGAAGAAAAAAAGATGCCATCACTATCGTCCTCAAAGCTGTATATGGGGTTTCTTGTCACATTTGACAAATAATTAATACAAATGAGAAGAAGTGTTGGCGACAGAATTGAGCCTTGGGGAACACCGACATTTATCTGGAGACACCTGCCTTCCAAGACAATGACCAAATTCGTTCGGATGACCAAACGATGGAAGGTTGCTCAGGAGACCTTTGTGTTACACCTGACCAAAAGCCTTGGAGATGTCCAATCAATGCTACAATTCTAGATTCGCCATGTTTTTCGAGAGTCGAGTTCCAAATATGACTGGCGTACGCTAGCAGATCTCCTATTGATCTTTAAGGACAAAACCGGTACTGTTTGTCAGAGATGAGCTTTGGTTTGGCTTCGATGTAGTTTACCAGTTTCAGGTTGACTGCCTTTTCCCTTACCTTGGAAAGTACGGATATAAGTGAGGTAGGATGATAATTGCGAGGAAGAGTTTTCTTGCTTTTTTTCGGGATGAGCTGCACTCTGGTACATTTTCAGATGGACGGGAAAACGCCTCGACTGTAAGAAAGTGAAAACAGAAGAACTAGCCAATTTCTGTGCGCAAGTTTTGAGATTATTTGATGGAATGCCGTCGGGACCACAAGATTTCCCTGTGTGCAGAATCACTTTCCTAATAGTTATAGGTGTGAATAAATACAGCTTTGTCTATGTAAGTGATGCAATTTTCTACATTAGTAAGTAGAAGCTTGAAAAGGCGGTGCTGTAAGGACCTTTACTTACAGCACCAACTACATTCAGAACTGAATCCCTTTCCGCAAAGGCCTGAATCACGTGGAAGTTAACATGCTCACGAGAACAAAGAAGTAGGTACGAAACGTTTCCTTGGAATTATTTATTGGGTAATCTTGAAATGTTTATTGGGTAGCCTGAAATGAATAAAGCTGTAAATAAATAAATGAATACAAATTCAAAATTTCAGATAACAAGTTTTCTCATTGATAGATTTCCACAGTCTAATAAAGAAACTCATAATAACATAATAGTTATTTATGTATCAAGGGTACTAAGTAGATGATGCCTGAGGGCGACAGTCTTACAAAGCCAAGGGCCTCTGGCCCGAGGGTTCGTAAGTCGCCCTATTAATACCCGTGGTGCATACAAACTTTTATGTCATACCAGTTAGTTGTGAACAATAAATACATGGGAAAAAAGTGTCACTTCGCAAATTGTCATCAGTGTGCAAACATCATAGTTTTTTGACAAAAATAATATGTTTATCCAACACCTGCTAGTTATAGGAGTCATTATTTGTGCCAATTTAGACAGGTAAACTATCAAATAACACACTAGTGTGTTATAAACCATAACTCACTAGTGGGTTATGGTTTATAACTCACTCTCTTATAACGTCAACGCAAAACGTCAGGAAATAATTTTTTTATAAGTCATGCTTTAAAGAAGACTCATTCACAAAAAATACCTATTAGTTTTTTCAATTCTTATATGTTGCTCATGTGTTATGATTTCTTAGTTGTTGGATAAAACATTGTATGCTACTCGTGTGTTATGTTTTCTAAGTCACTCGAGAAATTATACCACTCGGCCTGACGGCCTCGTGGTATAAGTTTTTCTCGCGTGACTTATTTTGAACATAACACACTAGTACCATAAATAACTATTATCAGCGTTATGACATAAAATAAATAACTTAACCCTAGGGCAGGCGCGCATTTGAAAATCACATTAGCGGGCGCGCTGCAGCACTGCGTGCCGCCAGCAGAAAAACGTACGAAATAATTCAAAACATCAAAATTTATTTATAAATAGAGTGAAAAAATAAAATAAATTTTAATTCTAGGCAACTAAATGAAATTCTTTATACTAATTTCGCAAATACACAAAAATAATAGTCATATTATTTGCACTATTCCCCTTGTAATTTTACTTACATGACCAGGCACGGAACTCACTGACGTCTGAACAAGCACTCTAAGGCCCTAAATTGTGCGTAGTAGGTTTACTGATATAGTCATTTGGACATAGCTAGATGGACAATATGATAGAATCCACAATATTTGCGGAATCTTTGAATTAGTAAAAAGGCGGCATAGAAGGCCGATAGCGCGCCTGCCCGAGGGTTAAGCATGACATCCTAAAAGTTACTAAAAGATTCTAAATAGAAAATAGAAATGAACATTGAAGAAATTTCTCCATAGGTATTTAATATTATTAAAAGATTCAATACTTAAATGACAAAAAAATATTTCTATTTCGGGAACAATTCCTCATAAGTAAACCTCGAAGTAATACTATTAGCAATATTAGTAAACTTTTCAGCTAATGAATTTTCTAAAGCAGGCCGAATTTCATCAATAAATAAATCTGAATTTTCTTTGAGGAACTGATTGGTAGCCGCACTTAAAATAGCCCCATTATCACCAAATAGACCACCCAAAGTAATATCACTTTTGCCTGTGTGGAGAGTTAAGGCAAATTTCTTGAATTGAATGTAGGTTTTGTTGCCTTTTTGGATTTTATCGGCTTTGAGGAGACAATTAAACACGTAGTTTGCTAGAAAAATTAATGATAATTCAATTTAGGCTCAATTGGAAGTTGAAAAATACTTACTAAAGTTGCCAGTGATAGGTCCTTTTCCCTTATACTTTAAAACCAGGATGTTCATGTCAATATCGTAGTCTCCTTCAAAATATAGTGTTGGTATTGTGAATTGTACTAGAAATCGGGTTTTGGCAAGATCAGGCCTAGAAAAAAAGTCGATAATTTGAATCAATTAGGTTTTTCTGCAATAATCTAGCATATGTGACCAGAAACTTAAAACGATGAAACTTCTGTTTGTTTCTTACTTCAAATCGGTAATTTTGAACTGAGAAGCTCCATGTACAATCAAATTGGTAATATTAGCATCAATTTGAGCACCTGGTCCGCTGACCAATTTGATTTCGTCCAATGGTAGAGGTTCTAATGGGGGCACATTGAGTTCCGGTATGCCTTCTTTGAGTTTGGGTCTCAAAAATTCAATAGACTGGATTATGCACGGGCCCAAATTTGGATCATCACGTTTGCATACTTTTATGTAAGGGGCTAAAAAAAAATTGAATTCAAGATTGTGAAATGACCCATGGTCTGTAGTTTTTTAATCTATTGAATATTATTATACTTTTGATATTTCTTCAATGTCAATCATACGAATCATACGCATTTTTTATGTTAATAGCCGATAGTTTAAGCATTAATAATGCAACGTCATCATCATCGCGGATTCATAAATGTCAAAATAAAACCTGCATTAAGGATAGGGTCTAAAACTAGGTTACCCAAAAATCAAAGAAGTGGAAAATAGAAAATGATTGCAAACTAGTGACGAGAAATTGGAACAAAAAGTCTATATTGCATGATCATTGGAAGAAAACAAAGATTCTATATTCTTGAGGCTAGAACAAATTTTACGTTCTAATAAATCAGACAATTTGTGCGTGGAAAATTCAACCCTATGGGGTTGTAAAAAATTGTCATGCCGACTCCTACAAAGGAAAAGGGCAAATATACTAAATCAAGCTGGGTTTAAACACCAAAACAGCTATTTGTTGGTAGTTCTGAACCTCGCAGATAATCTGCGAGTATGTAATGATTTTTAAAGAATCTGGAAGTGGCTCTCTAATGATATGCTAATTAGTGAGGATAACAAACGGTGCAGAACACGAGAAAAAATACAGTGAAATCGATTGCCCATCAGTCATTCGAAACCACAATGAGAAAAAAGGCGGTGTGGACTTACTGGATAATTGTATCTGGATGCAGAAGAAACGAAAATGTAATGTAAACTATTTGATGTTTTTCGTTTTAATTAAATAAATTCAATGTCTACCATCAGTTCAAAATGTTACAACACCGATACCAATCGTATTTTTTAATTGAAGAAGTCTACCCTACTATTCATCAAAAAAATATACACTAAATACATAGAATATAATTTACACTTACGAATTTTTGCACCTACGCCATAAAATACCACAAAAACCAAAACTAAAAACGATATCATCTCTACAATCTGACTCCTTTAAACACAAATCAGATAGACATACGTCCAATCAATTTTTTTTATAGAGTTAAACTAAATTAAAATCGTATTAAGACGCCCGAGGTCCGATTAGCGTAATACAAACTGTGGTAATACAATAGTCACGTAAGTACCTACTCCAGGACATTATAAGTACACCTTTAAATATAATATAATGAAACATAAAAATTTTTTCGATGGGATTTTAATTTACTCCCAGGCAAATTCTATTAATATTTCACGCACAAACTAACAAATGAACCTTGAAAGAATGAAAAATACATAGCGGTGATGATCTTGACAATTTGCCACTCAAGATCTTTTATGGATGAATGGAAACTAACTTACAAGGTGGATTTTTTTAAATATCATAATTATTATTAGTACGACTATTTGATAATTTTAATAATTTTCATGCACTTGCAGAAAAATGTATCTATCATCTGCGTCAAGCTATTTTGAGAACATTTCGAAGAATTATTGAGAGAATAACGGGCTGAATTGAAAGAAGAAGTAGGAAAACATTCACAAAAAAAAACCGCTATACCACGAATCAATAAGATTATACCTATCTTATAAAGGAAAAAGGGGCCGAAGTTTAGCTTCTTGAGATAAAAATGGGAACTTTAATATAGAGCAAAATGAAAAATGAAAGACCTTTTCATTTTGCTCTGCATAATGTTGCTTCACCCTGGAGATATCCTCGATCATCTTAGAACTTTAATATAGTATGGGAGCAATAAACCTTACAAACATCTAACAAAACTATTCCAGACATGCAGGACGTACCTAGCATAAAAGAGTGGAATATAAGCAACATGACTACGAAATACAAGAAAGGAGACAAAAACAAACGCGAAAATCGCCATAATAAACTACTGACGAAGATGGAGAAACAGGGAATCAAGACCACTTATTCAGTTTAACCCAGGTGGTAGAAGAGAAACTAGCATATGATCCAGAACCAACACCGACACCCACCCCTGTCCAAGAAGGCCATCCGAAGCAGGAGACCAGTCTTTCAGCCAGCCAGTAGTCACAATTACCATGCTAAGCCAAAACAGACGTCTGCAGCCCAGCAGCCCTGCCAGAAACAGCCTGACTTCCTAGCCCGTCCAGTTTAAGGTTTAGCTTTAAGAGTAACCTGACACGTTCTATTGGAATGAAATGGGAATGAGGCAGCTTGGAGGAGGATGGCTGATTTGTAGTGAGGTCGCGAGACGAGACGGGAAAACGCTCTCTATCATCTTATCTCAAAGGTTCGAGAGAAAGTGAGTCTCTCGTCTTGACGAGAGACCCTCGATACGAGACGAGAAAGTTCTTCTCTTATCTCGTCTCGTTTTGTCTCGTCTCTAGTGAGTTTTGACGCATAGTACCTAAGTTAATTTCTTCTCCGATGTCAAGAGAATGCAAAATTCAAATTTTCCAGCGGTTTGGACATTGGGTCAGGTAAATTCGCCCCAATGATCCATGAGTTTCAAAAAGTCCACTTTGGCCGCTCAGGTGTAATAGGTTATTTCGCCTCGAACACCCTTTCATTATGATGGTCACTTAGAGAAAGGATGATTAGGTATAAGAAATAAATAAACTTACATTACCTAAGTATGTCTTTTCTTTAATTTGGGGATGGAATTTCCTAAACTGGTTTATTGAAGAAATGTAAAATACGCAGACTATCTTGCAGACACCTATATTTTTCAAGATTCCCTGTTTCCGCTACAACTTTGAGCTGAAATTTCTGCAACACTACTTACAAGAAGGACAAATGCGTGTGAGTCCTTCCACCGCAATTTTAATAGTTCTATGTATAGTTCACAACCAAATTTATATATTTTTATTGAAAAGTTAAAAGAGTTTAAAATAGAAACATATGTAAAAATAAAAAACACATTAAACAGTAAAAATTCATTCCTAATGTAAAAGTTGAAAACCGGCAAAAATTTATTGAAGAGACAATTAAAAAGTACAGTCTTGGTGAAATCACTAGACTCCATTTATTAAAATGCATTTATTTTCATTGTGCACCTTAAAAGTGAGAGAATTAAATTTTTAACTTAGTTTAAGAAACTGGTAAACTGTAACTTAACGTAGATGTTCATTAAATTGCACACCTGTATATGAGAACATTGTGGTTTTATCAATTATTGTCATTGCCTTCCCTAATACGTCAGGTAGCCTGGAGCGAAATTACTGGAATTTATTTTGGTTTACTTTTGAACAAGGGCGAATCTTTTGCGTCCTTTAATTATCATGGGGTGAAAATAGCAACACCCTGGACATTAACGTACTTTTTTTACCCTAACCACTTATTCACATAAATAGATAAAAATTATTGGATGAATAAAGTAGGTAATAAAGATAAAAGCATAAATGCTCATAGGGTAGGTACTCGACAATAATCAATCCCATCTTCAAGTAGGTCTAGACATTACAGGTAAGTACCGATCTGACATTTTATAAGGGTCATACTCATTAATTTTTAATTGATAACTCCTTGGTAATTCACCGACGCCGTAGGTAGATGATGAGAACAGAAAGTTGTAAAAAAAATGAACATTTTGTTCGATGATTATTCGGATAGAAAATTTTTTGCTAATTATAGAAACAAATACAGAGCCACGTCTATTCTAACAACGTCGTAGGCGGAGGTCTCCCACATAACAAAATTGCATCCTTAGAATGTACTGAGAATGTTCATTTTTTAGGAGGAATGTGCCTAGAATGTTCGCCAAAACCATTGCGAATGTCCTGAGAAAAGATTGTAGAAATACTGTTTGTAATACTCAAGAACTTCCCGGGAAATTCATTAGGATATTCCTAGAATATACCTATGAGATTTCTCAGTACATCCTGAAAAGAATATTCCCGTGATTCCAAAAATATGCTCGAAATGTATATTCTCAAATTCAAAGAATGTTTATATGACCTTATAGTTATGTTCTCAAAAGAATATTATACCAATATGCTTGAAATATTCTTAGAATATATCTACATATATCATTCTCAATATGTATCCTAGACATAACATTCTTGTTTGATTCTAGGGACATACTTGGAATGTTAATTTTCACATCCAACCAAATAATGCTCCTTTCAGTCCTTTTATATTAAAGGCAGTGAAAGAGTTGTTGGAAAATTTATCTGGAAAACACAAGTGTTTAACCAAAGCTCCGGTTTCAAGCTTATTATGCTCTCACGCGCTAAGCACGCCAACTGAGAGAAACAGTTTCCAACGTGATTCAAACGCGAGGCAAGATGTAGATCATTAATAGCGCGTGGCTCCCTCTCTTGGAAGTCCTACAAAGCAAAAGAAAAAGAATATACCTATAATATTTTTAGTAGGCTCTAGATAGAGCATTATTGTTTAATTGTTCAATTGAGATTTTTGAGTAGGTACTTTAGATAATTAGGTGAACGATATCGAAATATTCTTATCAAGGGTACCTACCTACATAAACTTCTCAGCACAACTTTGTAGGTATATTCTTAATACTTGATAGAGATATTAGCCGAAAGAAATTTTTTTAGGGTACATTATAATAATGTTCGTATGACAATATGCAGATAATGTTATATAAAGTAGGTTCTTAGCACAATCTTTCAGGTAGGTGCATAGAAGCAACATTCCTAGTACATGAATAGAACGTCCAAAAGTGAATATTTCAATCGAAACAATCTTAGAATATTCATTAAACATTCCTAAAAGAACATTACAAAAAGCACTTTGAGGGAATATTCTGAGAATATGAATGTTCTTTCACTGTTATGTGGGCTGTTTCCTTTATAACAAATCTTGAGTCTGTGATTGTCGACTTCATGTCGCTTACTTCCTGGGAAAAAACTTCCTGTAATAGTGTGTAGAAAAAATTGTTGATTTGAACCAATCAAATTGAAATTACGCGATAATTTGCACTAGTGCAAATTATCAGATAACTGCATAGTAACTGGTGCGAAAACTGGTGTTTTGACATTTTTTGACAAAAAAATTGAATTTTTGATTTATGAAATTCTCTCATTAAATACAACTCGTGCAATGGAAATATATTTATAATTTTCGACAAATTTACACTCATGCGTTTTTAACTGAAAAAGGCACTCGTGCACTACGTGCACTCGTGCTCTTTTTCAACTAAAAATGCATTCGAGCAAATTTCCCAAAAATTATCAATAATTTCTATTGCACTAGTTATATTACTATTGATTATATACTACTCAAAACGAAATAAGGACCACTTTTAAGAGCAGGTTTTTATTGAATTTTGAATAACCCTGGTAAAGTGACTATTTCCATTTACAATAAGTATACATAAACAAATAAAGTGTGCACAAAAAATTTATATTGTAAATGGAAATAAACACTTTACCAGGGTTATTCAAAATTCATTAAAAATAAATGGGTTTTCAAAAGTGGTCCTTATTTCGTTTTGACTACGCTTTCTACGCTATTCTCACTTTCGCTTTGTGCTGGTTGATTAGTTTGCTTCTCTACAATATCTGGTTCATTTTGTCTGTCGTCTATTCTCTGGTTCTATTATTATTATCTATTATTATTAATATTAATATTATTATTACATATTATTATTGTTATTTTTATAGATATACTGAAAAATCTTTTTTTTTTTTTTTGTCTTTTATTCAATAATAGTCATAGCACTGTAATGCATTAAATAATTATCCCTTTTTATTAGGAATTAGAACTCAATGTCTTGTATGAACATGGATTTATTATGGCGCTAGTTGTGTGCAAGACAGAGGCAGGTCAATGCATACTTTTCATGGCGAATTTTTCCTAGGACTTGTGATTTTCATGGTGGTTTTCAAACGTCATTTCTCAAAAGGGATCAATATCTAACACAAAACAAAATAAAATATTAATAAACGTACTGAAAAAAAAAATAATAATACAACTTGTAATCATGCATCACGCTACTGAAGGAAAACTTATTCAAACACACAAGTATATCAAGAAAAGGGTTAAGGAATTGGTTTATTGGTATAATTTTTTTTACTGTGTAAGTTGCAATGAAGCGCGCTCACGGCTCAAGCGCTTCCCACTTCCAAGTCGACTACGTGGCAGTAGAGAGAATGGTCGGCCAAAGACGAATCGTCGGATTTTGAATTTGACAATCTGATTTCGTAGAGGGATGAAAGCGGCAATGATAGAGACCCATTTGCTTCAAAATATAATTTCAAATAAGCTCTGGAAAAAATGGAATCCTTCCTCCGGATATCGCATATTTCCGGAAGTACATTTCTAATTCTCAAAAGGGTATTTTGTTGGGCATAAAATTGCGCAACTTTTTTCTAATTCAACCGAACTTATGTATCTTCTACTGCTTCCTAAATCCTAATATCCCATTATTATCTTAGCCTCACTGATATAGCTCTCAAATCCTCTCCTGACCAACGTTCGAAAAGAACAGAGGAATAACGCCAGAACCTCCTTGAGAACATAGTTGATTTGGGAAACATGATAACACCCTGTAAGGGTCCCTGGCCAGAGTACCTACAATGACGCTGCTGCGTTGGAGCTATACATTTGAAATAGGTACTTATAATCAGGTTTTTTATTGTTCAATTTTGCTAGGATTTTTTTTTCCCAGTTAAACTCTAATCTGAATACATCTTTTCAGTTGGTCCATTTTCTATTTCCAATGTGAATATTTTCACTTTCCCACTTTTTTACCATAGAATTTTTTTATTCCAAAATTTTTCTAAGATAATCACCGGATATATACATATTTTGTTTTTTAGATGCTCCAAGATGGGAGTTTTTTTTTCGCATCTTTAAAATGTCGAGAAAACTCGGACTTGGGCACCCCCAAGAAGTTGAAGGTTTTTTAAGGGTTTGAGAAGGGGACTCCGAGAAGTTGAGTGGAAAAAAATCATTGAATTTGATTTTTTTCGTAGCTTTCACAAACTATACCTACCTACTTAATATTATAGTGTAAAGTTTTTGTTGGACACTCTGTTTCGTAATGAATGCTATAAAATGATGCAAGTTTCAATATTCCAATCAGATCTAAGAAATTTGAATTCTTATCGCTTGAAACAATGTAGGTAGGTATATTACAATTGATTGGAATAAAGAATAAATTAATTAGAAAAACAAACAGGGCATGCAGTAAATAAAGTGGTGCATCACTAGAAACTATTGTTGTTATTCAAAAAATAATGTATGTACATATTTAATTTCACATAAACATTATTCTGGTAAAAGTTCTTCGTAAGGCACAATATGGGCAATCTTATTGGCTATATCCGTGAACCGAACACTTAAACCATCCTCCAAAGCTGGTAGAACTTCTTTCATAAAAACTTCAGTATTATCGTTGAGTACAGCTTGCAACCCTTGTGATAATGTAGGATTTTTGTTGTCAGTTCCTGTCATTTTTAGTACAGATTTGCCCATTGTAAGTTTTATGCCTAATTTTGGTATGTTCATGTAATTTTTGCCGTCCTTTTGTTTTATTTCATAGATTAGGGTAAGGTCAAAAATATAGTCGGCTGAAACAACACAGTTTGTTTAGAATTTCTATTATAATTTGGAATTATACTTACTGAAGTTTCCAGTCATGACCCCTTTTCCATTATACTTCAAAATCAACACATTCACGTCCATGTCATAATCCCCTTCAAAATTTAATTTTGGTAAATTAACTGTTGCTTGAAACTTTTTATTTGGCACATCAGCTCTAAGAATTTTATTTAAAAGGAAATATATTTATAAGCTCAATCAAAATTCCTTACTTAAGATCGGTTATCTGGAACAAAATTGGTCCCCAAACTTTTAAATTTGTTATGTTACTACTGATTCTAGCCTGATTTGGTCCACTTCTCAATTTTATCTCATCTAATGGTAAAGGTTCTAATGGAGGTACGTTTATTTCGGCGATACCTTCTTTGAGTTTGGGTCTTAAGGCTTCGATGGAGTTTATGATGCATTGGGTTAGTTTCGGGTCTTTTTGATGACAAACGTGAATGTAAGAAGCTAGAAAACGAAGAATGATATTGGAGTTTTCCATGTTTGAAAATAGTATAATATTATTAGTACTTACGTATTTCTCCTAAACACAAGGTAACGGTGATAGTGATTACAAAAATCGCAGCTTTGTTAGGCATTTTTTGCCACCTTGGTATTAGTAGGTTGATGAGTAGCTATACTCTATTCATATACTACACGTACACAAATGTTTAACTATATATTCTAAACTTGATAAACATAATTTCGCGAATTGCGAAACAATTATCACTGTAATTGGTCTAATTAAATTCTTGACCATTTTATAATTATTATATTTTCCATTATTTTTTTATCAACAAGTACTAGTGATTCAATTTAGTATGCATTTTTTAATTTTTCATAGTTAGTTCATGATAATTATAAAACCAAAATTGTTTGATACCTTTTCTCAAAATCGAGTTCTCAAAAAGTACAGTTGGGATGTTGGGGTTCTAGAACCTAGAACAGTCCGATTCCTATTTTGTTTTTCGCCAGTTTAATTTTTTTCTTTTCAATTTGGTTTTGAAATTTACAACGATGTAGATGAACGACGATCAACGAAAAGAGATGCAGTTCAGTTTATTCGTTCGCACCTGATTTTTTCATATACCTATGCGTCCTTCCTTGTTCCCATCAAGCACCATCCAATCCCATCGGAAAATTACCATATCATTCAACGGTTACAGTGTCCAGCACTTTTTCTTTAGCAAACACATTGGCCCAGAAGGGAACGATTGGTCTGTCTTTCTGCGTTTATTTTTCACCCAATGACTAGTCGTGAGCTTCTATTTGACTCATCCGATATTTTAATGTTCATAACTCAGAGTGGCTTAAGTTTTCGAACAAAACAACCCATTCTGGAAGAATAATTGCTGTAGCATCTTTTATTTCACACAGCCTAACCAATTGGTAGAAGAGTCCACATGTATTTCCGATTCCGTTTCTCAACAGGCGAACTTGAGAAGATTTGTTCTTTTTACACTAATCCTTAAAAGATCGATGTGTTTGCACACCTTTGGCAAATCAGATCACAAATTGATTCCCGCTCGAAGTTCGATTGTTATTTATGTATTTATTTATTTAACGGAAAATCCATTGCATACGTGGTAGGCATTTATATAATTAATTCTAGTATATTTATAGAAATATAATTAACACGTTGACTGCCAAGCCTGATATGAGAATTTAGCCCCAGACGCCCATTATATCCAAGTGATTTTCCTTTATTTCAGTCACAAATAAAATAGGAATAAAATAATTTTTTGATTTTTCTTGTCCACACCGCCGTCAAGTTACTGTTGGACCTTACCCCAGACGCCCAACATTATGTATCTGCCCGCATTTACTACGTATTTACCCGTAGTGGGCGATATACTAGATACTGCTTAATACGAGATAATTCGTAGTGGGCTTCTGATTCAAGTAGCTAAATTCGAGTTATCTCGTAGTTGGCAGTCAACGTGTTAATATAAGAAGTAGTACTCCTATACCTGAAAGCTCAGAGACTAACGATTGCTCTGTCTTTGTCAGTGTTATAGAAATATAAATATGGACGACTAAGACAGAACCTTCGTTTTCATAAGATCGCTGCTCCCATGTTTCGAGAAAAACGGCCCATGATTTTATTCACCGCAGTGTTTCGACATAAAACGTTCGATGCTGCTGCGTTTGAAAAGTTTTATGATTTTTCAATGATCTTGAGGGAAAATAAAAGTCAAGTTGAAGTAGAGTTTCGGAGAATTCTATAGAAACATGCACAACTTTATGTGCGAACAGTAGGTACATCTAAATTTGACCTTCTAGTCTCTGATGACTGAATGTCGAGAATTATCTCTAGCTCACTGACGTCACGTGGTCACAAGGGATTTTTGAATTTGAAGGCAATGTAACACAAAAACTTTCTCTGTATAGACTGTACTCTTGAAATATATTTTTATTAAAAAAATTTCACCAAAGATATCAATAATACAGTATGGCATTATGACAGGCATGAGACAGGCAGATCAACTGTGAGCAACCTCTGTGTGCTCACAGAACATGCAGCAGCTTCTTTTGAACTGGGAAAGCAGCTTGACACTGTATACATTGACATCGCAAAAGCATTTGAAAAAGTTGACCATAGTCTACTGTTGAATCGGTTGATTCAGTGTGAATCTCGAAAAAAGCGTACAATTTGTTTCAAAAGGGTGTATATTTTTGACATAATTTGCCTTCTTCTTTCAACAAATAGAAATTGACTGAAACTAATCAATGACGTCAAAAACGTTCGTCGGTTCTTAAACCAGAAGTTATTCATTTTAATTTTTCAAAAAAATTGAATGTGTCATATGAATTAATCTACAACAACCTTTTTTTTCAAGCTATGACGTTTTCGATGTCAAAAGTATAAACCCTCGTGAAACGAACTTTATGTATTCTTAAGATCTTATCCTGGACAGGTTTCAATCTGTTAAAGTTGACAGGTAATGAGGCCTATGATGTATCATTTTCAGTTATTTAAACAGCAACGTTAAGTTATCTGTCACTGTTTATTCTACACGTGAAAATAGAGAGAGGCTTAGATGTTGAGCTATAACACTACTGTTATGGTAACAGAAGATGATACATCATAGGCCTGAATATTCGGACTGGTTCACCGCTACGTTCGGTATATCGCAGGAAGCAACCTGGGATACCTTTTATGTATTCAATATTTATATTAACTCACTTCCCGAAGTAATTAAGCACTCATCAGCTTTGCTATATGCTGATGACTTCAACATACTTATTTGAAGTAATTGCTGACAGTAGCGATATCCTTGCGTCGCAGTCGGACCTGAGGGCCGTGTCGAAATGGTGCCTTGACAACAAAATGTCCTTGAACATTGAAAAGTGCTTCACGGTATCATATAGCAGAAAAGCGTATCCTATAACAGCTGATTATCGCATTGGAAGCCTGATAAAATCCCCAGATTTGTCCCTTTTTCTGTCAACTATCAAATAATGATACATGACATTTTGATTTGACATATAAAAATATCAGATATTTTGAATTTTTGTGTGAAATCGTTGCAGTTTCGAAATGTTCTTCTTCCCAAACTAGCAGAACCATCCATTATCATCTTGGATAATGCGTCGTATCATGCAGGCTACTTAAAAAGTGGTCTCTTGTGAGCTGGAAGACGATATGCAGAGATGATTGGAGACTAAGGTTATCCCTTTTGACCCAGTTTTTACAAAAACCAGCTTGTGGAACAGCATCCTACAAATCCCCAAGACGAAGAAGTCCATTATTGTGTACAATGCCATTATGAAAGCGGGTCACCAGGTTTTGCGCTCACCTCCATACCATTGTCAATTTAATACGCTTGAAATGGTATGGAGTCAAGCCAAACAGTATTATGACCAGCTGATCCTTAACGAAAAAGATGTCTAAAGGTTTGTTATGCAAGTTTTACACTGACAATTTAAATTGATCAATTTGTTTGTCAATTTATTTGCCAATTTATTTTGGCTCAACAATGGCTCAATTTCGCTTTACACCGGATCAGCTTGTTGACAACACAAACGACAATAAACAATTCTACCAACTTAACCAGAATTTTAAGGTTATGTATTTTTATTTATGGCTCACCCAGAAATATATTTGAAGATGTTTGATAATCAAACTAGAAGCAACTGAAGGTAGAAGAATAAACTGAACATCAACAAGTAAATGATAAATAAAAATAAATATCCTCACCTAGCTTTAATATTTTTAACGCTGTGTCTAGAATCCCGGTACCGGTAACACATTTTTTACCGGTAGTTCTGATGACGTCATCGATATGACGCACTTGTACCGGGATTTAAGTAAATCCCGGTGTTTTGATTTTGTTTTTATCGTTATTTATCAGCTGATTGGTATTTTAGGTTAATTTATTAATGTTTTCGTCACTTTTTCGAAACAATTCAAACTATAAAAGTTAGTTTAGGTTCGAAATCTATATATATAAAAATGAATGCCACTTTTCGTTGTAATTTTATAACTCAAGAACGGACTCACCTAGCCAAACCAAATGTTTAGGCTTTGTTCGGACTATTGATTAGATGGTTTATGTGAAGTTTGCACAAAATCGGTCGAGCGGTTCTTCATTTATCACATTTTTTGTAATAAATTAATTATTCAATAAATGGAGCATCATTTTGCTGTCAAATTCAAACTTTTTTCAGCGTTGACAGTACCAGCATGTTGTTATGTCATTAATGTGGTCATTTCATTACTTATTTATTTATTTATGAAAAAAATTTATTAAGCCCGTATACGGCGCCATGTCTTATAACCGATACCAAGTTTATTTTGTATTTTGTATACCGCGCCATCTCTGATACCTGAAACGAAGCTCGGCATTGCAGATACAGTAGAACAATGCTGCACAGAACTATTCCACTATTCCGATCAGATAGAGTGGTGCAGAAAGAGTAGGTCAGATAGAGTAGTGCAGATAGAGTAGAACAGATGGAGTAGTGCAGTGCATGCAGTGCAGATAGAGTGAAATAGGGCTGCGCTAGAGATTTTTTTTGTTTTCTTTACATTCTTTGAACATTCCCGTGCCTGAGTTTATTTATTTGGTGGTACACTTTACAAGAATAATGCCCACAAGCTGCCTAAAAAAGGATGATGTAAAATTTTAATTTTAGGTGCCTTCTGATCCAGAGAGTAAACATTAATTTTCTTCAACCAAAGCCAAATTCACCATCGAAAAAAACTGAATTTAATTCAGCTAATAGATACGTTAACACAACATTTAATAGGTATATTTAATAATTCAGAGGCGGTACGAAGTTCGCCGGGTCAGCTAGTACCTTATATAAATGATTTGCGTTCGGAAATGTCGAACAACTCATCCCAGATTAGAAGTAATCTGCAATCGGATGATAGTAAACTAGGGTTGTTATTCCCGAAAACCCCTGAGAATTTAAACGAATTTGAAATGATGTCACTTTATATAGCAGTTTATAATCGGATTTAATAGATATTTATTAATTTACTTCAAGCAATATATGTAACTATACTGTTTAGGATGTAAATTAAAATGAATATCTCTCATTTTTTATTTATAAGTTTACACTCAGAACAATAGGTACCACATTTTGGGTATTTTATGGCCATTTGCACGGCTATCACTTAAGGGATATTTGATCTAAGTGA